AAATAACTTTATTAGGTAACGCTCAAAAAGAACAACCTAGCTTATGTTATTTACAGTGGATAATATGTACAGGTTCTTTACATATATTTATTATTAAAATTATTAAAAATAAAAAAAGCATATCCTGACCAAGAGCACATGTGCTTTACAGATGACAGAGCGCCATCTAGTGGAACAGAAATCAACTAAACATTGATTTAGCTTGTTCCCTGATATTTGGCCAACCCAATTTATTGATAAATCGAGAAAAGCCATCCACGAACACGTTTCGCGCTATTAATGCTCGTCAGCGTGGAGTAGGCAGTACCATTGCGACCAAAAAAGATTTTTGATCCCGGAGGCTTCTTGAGAAACCAAGAAATGGCCCTGATCAGGATATGCCTTTTTTATTTTTTAATATCAGCACCTGACCTTATTATTATTATTTTTAATTATTAAAAAAGGCATATTTTGACCAGGAGCACATGTGCTTTTCATATAAATAAAGTGTCCAATGCGGGATTCTATCCCGGTTCATGGCTCTCTGAAAACGACGTTTTATACCACCGGCCACTGACTTTTATTTATTCACACGGTGTTGGGTAAACCCGGGAAGAGTCACTTGCCATCTGATTCAGCTGTCAATCCGGGTCAAAAACCCCCGACAAATTAAAAGAGAGAAAATTTCGAATTTTATTTCGGAGTTGCGAATGTGTGAAATATTTTATAAACATTCCTCCCCCTCCCCTTTCCCCCAAGCGCAATAAAAAGATTTAATCAAATGCTGAAACTTTCCAATCTGTAATATCGACAGAATAGAAATTTGGCTCAAGAAATGAACCAGGGACGATATACGCTCAATGGCCCTTGCATCCCCTGTCGATCACACAGCCAGAAAGGGAATGATGCATTCTCCATGCACCGAGCGGCCATTGGTAGGCCCTTCGCGCCCGCCATTATGGTCTGGCTACAATGGGGTTGACCATTCACCCACAGGCGTCTCCGAGAGTTCATAGCAAGGTTGCTGACCGAGCCCTCTCGTTCGGACTTAGTTAAACCCGTCCTAAAGTTCCAATAGGACTCCCCCCCCCCCCCCCCCCCCCCTTTGGCCCTCGAACCCTTAGTTCCCAGTACTCCCTGAATCTGCCGTCGAATCAAGGACCTCTGAGGTTCTGAGGTTTACGCGGGGAACAAACGCGGGGGGGGGGGGTACTACTGTGTGCACCCCTTGGTTTTTCAACACCAGGCCTAGCCCTGGTGCAATTTTCGCGTACGGCAAGGACGCTCCCAATGATGCACACACAGAGCGAAGACCCCTGAGTTACAAGTTGCCTCTCCACTCCCCTCTAGGGTGAATGGTGAGGGCGGGAATACTTCTCCCCGCTGTAATATCGACAGATAAATTTATTTAGGCTTCATACAACGAAGACCAGGGATGATATAGACAGTGATGTCCTTGCATCCCGCTGTAATATCGACAGTAAAAACTCAGTACTTCAATTTTATAACCTATCTCTTGCTTATACCGCTTCGACAAAAAAGAGTCTCACATATAAAGTATACCCGCTGTCCATAACGGAGGGCCCATCCATATATAACGTCATATCCCGCTTATAACGTACACTCATGTACAAAACTTAAGGAAGTGCAAAATCTTTCATATAGCCAGTCGTCTGTTTTTATTATTATTATTTTAAAGAGGCAATTTTGTTCACACTTGGTTATCTCATATGTCTTCAATAAAGGTCACAGTAATATCTTTCAGAGTTAAACTTTGACACGATATACGTACTAAAAGGTACAACTTCCTTAAGTTTTGTCCATGAGTGTATTTTTGTGTTAACGTTCCCAGAATATCCATGTGTTATATTATAAACATTTGTATACTGAACATGCATTGGTTGATTCCCGGAAGTTTCCCGCTCTTTAAGCTAGTTCCTAGTCAAATTTCATTTCGTCGCGAAGAGAGAAAAAGTCGAAGTGTAAAAGCAAAAAAAAAAAAAAAAGGAATACAAGATTAAAATATTGGGAATTTCGGAATGATGTAATAGGTGGAGAAAGGCACACACATGGCCCAGATTAACAAACGGCGTCAAATTCCAGCTAAATCATCATATCTTCATTTCGATTATTACCTTCATTTCATAAAACCCCACATTAAAAAGAGTAAAGCCAATTAAAGATTAGGAGAACATGAACATAAAATATGACAAATTATGATTTAAAAAACCTATAATAAAGAGAATGTACAATCCCTAAATTCCATTGTGGGGGAAAGAGAAAACGTTGACAGTTGACCCTCTCAATGTCTATATGGATCCATTAATTCTATGACTGACTTGACAATTGACAATTTAAACCATTTTAATGATTCTTCTAATTAATTGTTACAAAGGTAGAAAAATATATAATAAAATAGTAAATAAAGGGTAGATAAAATGTAGGGGAATATATATGGTTGTGTATGTGTACAAATTTCTTCAGCAAGGGAGGCTTCTCCACCTTGAGAGACTTGGCTTGATGAGATGACCATATAAATGATTCTTAAATAAGAGACACTTCGGCCTCACTAAAGGGAAAATAAAACCTTTTTTGACCGAAGTGTCTTTTATTTAAGAACTATATGAGGGAGCTCCGCCTTTGCCGGTCCCAAGCCCGGATGAAAAAGGAGGAGGGGGAGCAGTAACAAGCTCACTAAAAAACCTGGGCTCAGCAGGCCCGGCTGATAGTACCCTGTAAGAGCTCCTGATTCAGTGATACAGGATGAGCAGCGTTTGTATTCCATGTTAGGAGCGGCTGCACATGGCGTCTATTCCTCATGTCAGAGGCGGCCATTTCTTTTGGAGCTAAGTCGGCCTGCCACTGAATAGTGCTCCCAGTCTTAATGACAAAGGCAGATGCATTCTACTTCATCCAGTCATGATGGTTGTCAAGTCTCAAGCTCTACAAGCTTGATACCCTAATATGATTGAGTGGAGATAAGAAAGAAGAAGGAGAACTATATGAATGCAGGTAACCAACAAACAAAACATTAAATGCCCAATCTCAAGACTTAGGCAACAAACACGACCTTGAGTAAAAATATCCCAGAATAAAGCGAACATTAAAAAAGAGATAAGAGAGACACATTAAACTTCCAAAATAATAGACATTGTGCAACAAGAGTTATAAATAAGTTATAAAAAACGATATCATCAAATACCGGTAATTTACCCAACAGATTGAGTCAAAAGGGGAAGGAAGAATCTTTGTTATCTTAAAGAGAGAGGTTGTCTGGCCGGAATTCATAGATCTTAAATGAGAAACACTTCGGCCAGTGAGAAGGTTTTATTTTCTCTGTGTCTCTTATTTAAGAATCCTTGATATATTCACATCTCATCAAGTCAGTCATAGAATTAATGCATCATATAATCATATAATGGCTATACGGCATATATGCTGCAATATATGCAAACCTTCCAAAGCTTTTTCCCGTTAGGAATTCCATCATTTTTCCTCTCTAACTTTTATAATACCCAGTTTTAAAACCAATCACGGAAGTTTTAAGGGATTTTTAGCAACAATTGGAGCGGTTGAAGACTCTAACTGTCGTTGTGGCAAGGAAATCCAAGACTCGAGACACCTACTGCTGGAATGCCCACTCTTCTTTATCGCTAGACAACAGACAGTATGTTGTAGATCTATATCAATTTGTAAATAGCAGAGAGAATTATCATAGGTTTAACTATTTTTGTAAATATATTTATGATTATCTTTCTAACTTTGAAGGATCAGGTTCCTAATATATCTTATTGTATCTCTTTTTTTTTTTTTTATTGTAAAATCTATATATATAATTGCCTTATTCTGTCTGAAGCTCACGGATAGAATGCGCGCCCATTGGCTGCCGGCGAACACGTGTCCTCCCTGCCCCCCTCTAGACAACCCTGTTATCAGCTGTGTGATACATACACCTGTCTATAGCGGCCATTCTAGACAACCCTGTTATCAGCTGTGTGATACATCCACCTGTCTATACAGACCACCCTGTATATAGCGGCCATTCTAGATAACCCTGTTATCACCTGTGTGATACATACACCTGTCTATAGCGGCCACTCTAGACAACCCTGTTATCAGCTGTGTGATACATCCACCTGTCTATACAGTCCACCCTGTCTATAGCGGTCACTTTAGGCAACCCTGTTATCATCAGTGTGTTACATTCACCTGTCTATACAGACCACCCTGTCTATAGCGGTCACTTTAGGCAACCCTGTTATCAGCAGTGTGATACATACACCTGTCTATACAGACCACCCTGTCTATAGCGGCCACTCTAGACAACCCTGTTATCAGCTGTGTGATACATACACCTGTCTATACAGACCACCCTGTCTATAGCGACCACTCAAGACAACGTCTTTAAAATATATTCGCACTCGGGTAAAACCCGGGCGTTGCCCGGGCCATTCGTCTAGTATGTTTATAACTGCTTCTGTTTAAAAATGTAAATCGACACAATTATCCCTTGCCAGGATATCGCGTTTTGTGTGTGTTGAGATAAAATGCTGCGATCTCCAAAACGTATTCTCCGAATAGCACGTATATTCAGATATTATCAAGTTTCTTGAAAATAATTTTATGATCTCCAAGTTTAGGGCTTTTACTCCCTTCTATATAGAAGGTTTCTCTGATACACTCCTATAGAAGAACGTAAAATCTCGAAAACTATAGAAAATAAAATTGCTTTCATGAAACTTATCCTTGAATGATTTTTGGCTAAAAAGAATATATCGCAAGGGATTCTAATTTTCGAAATACAGATCCATCAATAGATCAAATATCTGCCAATAGACATCCTCAATCTATTTCACCTCAACCATCCTGGCATTATTCCTGTTCTCTCAAAGCTTCCTTTCTATGGCTAAGTATTTTTGGTGATATCGCCACGTGGAAAATTAGGAAAGACAAAATTCAGGATGAGAATATGGTTTTACGGGCTACTAACCAAAGTGTATGATTTCTGAGTCCAAGGTAATAGCCTACAGTACCAGGTGTCTCCAGGTGGTCACCCTCCCAAGTACTGACCGGGCCCGACATTGCTTAACTTCGGTGATCGGACGAGAAAACTTCAGGATGACACAGCAATTTATTTAAGGCAAGGACAAACTATGAATGATTCCGGGTAGTTGGCGATTTATGCTCCAGGAGCCTGGGTTACCTCTATTTTCTCTCTATGAATGATATAAATAAAAGATAAGCAACAAGGGAAGTTTACAGAGTATCAAAATATAAACATAAAAAAATGATACTCTGTTAATAAAATAATAATTACTTTGCTACAATATCATAGGGTCTTCTGAAATTATCCAAGCATTCCATCCTCGGGTTTCCTCTTCATTCCATATATCCCTCCAGCTATACCTGTATCTACTTCGGGTGTCGAATAAGAGATGTCCGTGAGCAAAAGTTTATAAAAGTTAATAAATCATATAAAATACAAATTCAAAATGTCGAAAAGAAGCATTAATGTGAATAAAAGTGCAAAATGTATTCGACGCATTAAAAAAAGTAATATGTTACTTTTATAATCATGTCTCCCCGCCCCCTTTCCCTGCCAAGAATATTAGTTTAAAAGAAAAACTATTTCACTAAATAAATGTCAAAATGAATAAAATATACACCTTATCAAATCTGTCAACACCTCACGCGTTTCAAGCTGTCGGTGGCCTTCGACAGCGTGGAATGCAGGCTTAACTATCTTGACGACAAAAAAAAAAAAAGTCGGTTATAGCGGTTTCCTTGAAAATAAAAGGAACGGATAATAGAGAGAAAGATAGTTAAGGCTGAAATTTGGGGGGAAAGGAGGCGAGTAGAAAAGAAAACTTTCAAAGAAAAGAGGGATACAAAGACGCGGAGGTAAAAAAAAAAAAGACATTATTCACAAGAAACTAAAAGAACAAAACCTATGGTCATCAAAATAGAAAAAAGAGAGATGACAGCGGAAGATCCCGGAAGGTGAGAAAAAGACAGGCGGTATGTCGAGGTCGTAAAAGTGAGGAGAGGAATGAAAAAAAAAAAAAAAAAGATTAAAAAAAGTGCGTCACACACATAAAAAAGAAGTAGATCCTTTCCTCCATTGAAGAAGCAGTCCGTCCCAAGTTTAGACTGGCGTAGGTTCAAGACCAGTAGCAGCAAGGTTACGTAACGTCTGCCAAGGTGGGAGGAGTTACGGGAATGCTTTCGCCCTCGACACCTATTTCAGTAGAGCACTGTCGCTACAACCTGTGCGCTTGCCAAATTACAAGAGAGTTGTAGGGAATGAAGAAAAATCCATGTTTCTGACAAAATCATTGAATTGCCTAACCGGCGATATTCTCATATTTCTTAAAATAACAAGACACTTCGGCCTGATAATTTTCTCAAGGTTTCGACAAAAACCTTTTATCTTCGTCAGAAATGAAAATAAAGGATTTGGCAAGGCGTTAAAAATTATTCTTATTCTTTTTAATTTTTAACAACAAAAAGCTTTATTACGACTTTTCAGTCTTATACAGATTCTCCGAGTAGAAATGTAGGGTACATCCAGGAATAGCAGTAATAAGCAATGTTATTATTATATTTTTAAAAGCTAATAACATATGAAATTCATATACAGGAAAACTTAATTAAGACAATCAAGCTAATAAATAGATTAATCTAGGTATATCCTAGGAAAAAGAAAAAAAAGAGAAGATATATATATTTTTAACGCCTTACCAAATGCTTTATTTCTCCTGGCGAGGATAAAATAGTTTTGTCGAAACGTTAATAAAATGAAACTTCATCTGACCCAAGTGTCTATTATATTAGAGAGAAAAAAAATCATTGAAAACGTCATTAAATCCGATATGGAAGTTGGCCCCTCAAGGAACATCATTCCTGATGGGCTGACACATTCATTCTAAGATCTCCTAGAACCAAATATACATGTTTGGGATCAATGTCTTCTAGATGAGATTCCCGTCAATTCAATAAAGATCCTTTATTGCTCGAATTCAGGAGTTTTCATTCTCCCAGCCAATTCTGACTATATACACCCTGACTTTAGGCAGCAAAAAAAAGTTCACTTTGCCAGAGTATCGTATTTGTAGGTGGTATTTATACATTTTTAGAATACTTACTTCCCTGTGTATAAACCTCAATTTAATAATAAATAAAAGACATATCTCTAAAAATAGATTTTAACAGAGTTAGCACCATGGTTAAAACAGTTCGACAAAGAGCCGTGCCTTGAAATATGATATTAGAATTATGGTGTAAAACATATCAGTATCATGGTTTGAAACGGATTTCGCGACCCGACATTGCGCCATGGTTTGAAACAGCTTTCATGGGACAATTGTTCGAAACATGGTGGTGTAAAGCAAAGACAAGATATTCCAGGTCGTTCCATGGTATGAAATAGCCCGACATAACTTTAGACAAGATATTCTAGGTCGTTCCATGGTATGAAATAACCCGACATAACTTTAGACAAGATATTCTAGGTCGTTCCATGATTCTAAATAGCCCGATATAACTTTAGACAAGAGACTCCAGGTCGAGCCATGGTAAGAAATAGCCCGACATAACTTTAGACAAGAGATTCTAGGTCGTTCCATGGTTCTAAATAGCCCGACATAACTTTAGACAAGAGACTCCAAGTCTTTCCATGGTACGAAATAGCCCGACATAACTTTAGACAAGAGATTCTAGGTCTGTGCCATGAGTCTAAATAGCCAGACATAACTTTAAACAAGATATTCTAGGTCGTTCCATGGTTCTAAATAGCTCGACATAACTTTTGACAAGAGATTCTAGGTCGTTCCATGGTATGAAATAGCCCGACATAACTTTAGACAAGAGAATCTAGGTCGTTCTATGGTACGAAATAGCCCGACATATCTTTAGGCGAGATATTCCAGGTCGTTCTATGGTACGAAATAGCCCGACATATCTTTAGACGAGATATTCCAGGTCGTTCTATGGTACGAAATAGCCCGACATATCTTTAGACAAGGTATTCCAGGTCGTTCCATGGTATGAAATAGCCCGACATAACTTTAGACAAGAGAATCTAGGTCGTTCTATGGTACGAAATAGCCCGACATATCTTTAGGCGAGATATTCCAGGTCGTTCTATGGTACGAAATAGCCCGACATATCTTTAGACGAGATATTCCAGGTCGTTCTATGGTACGAAATAGCCCGACATATCTTTAGAGAAGGTATTCCAGGTCGTTCCATGGTATGAAATAGCCCGACATAACTTTAGACAAGAGAATCTAGGTCGTTCTATGGTACGAAATAGCCCGACATATCTTTAGACGAGATATTCCAGGTCGTTCTATGGTACGAAATAGCCCGACATATCTTTAGACGAGATATTCCAGGTCGTTCTATGGTACGAAATAGCCCGACATATCTTTAGACAAGGTATTCCAGGTCGTTCCATGGTTCTAAATACCCCGACATAACTTTAGACAAGAGATTCTGGGTCGAACCATGGTACGAAATAGCCCGATATAACTTTGGACAAGATATTCTAGGTCGTTCCATGGTTCTAAATAGCCCGACATAACCTTAGACAAGAGATTCTAGGTCGTTCCATGGTTCTAAATAGCCCGCCGACGCGAATGTTCTTAGTAAAAAAAGAGGAGTTACCAAAGATGTACGCAGCCATACATTCCGGACCATTGACTCACCCACAGACTGGGGAATCGGCCCGAAATAACAAGAAATGCTGTTTCACCACTTCCTGCAGTAGCAGCAGCAAAGACTGCGCCAATGTCCCGACGTCGATGCGGTCAGTAACCTATCATCCCAGCCAATTAAAACAACAACAACAACAACAGGAATGCCTATCCTCGGGCGACGTCTATCCCAGCCAGCGGGGAATATGAATGGGTTATCTACATACCCGACGGTAGGTATGTCGATAGGACGCGTTCAGAAGAAGAAAAGACAAGACCAACATTCTTAGAATACGATGAAAACTCTTAATATAAGAACTAACACCCCTATCTATTGAGAAAAAGGGCATTTCCTGATCGTGCAACTAGAAGTTGCTGATGGCTTGCGCCATCTATCGGAATAAATATCAACTAATCGTTGATTTTTAATTATTCCAGAATTGGCCAAATACCGTTTCTTGATTAATCAAGCTTATCACGTACGCTTTTGCCCTTTTTCTCAATTTATCCATTTGATCCAAGTACAAATTCACTTTTGTACTATTTTTTTACATCCCTATCTATGTAAATAAAGAAGAAAAATTGATGCGTTTCCTCCGCATACGTTTCCTCAATAGTTGACCTATGGTCCCCTGGTCACGATATAAGAGATAGGTTTTACATGGTTACGCAAGAGAAGAAACATTAAGAAATGAGAACCATATGTAAATGGGGTTATGTAAATGCTCAAGAAGAAAAAGAAGAAATGACAAGACTAATATTCTTAGAATACGATGAAAAATCTTGATATAAAGGACTAACACCCCTATCTATGTAAATAAAGAATAAAAATTGATGCGTTTCCTCCGCATACGTTTCCTCAATAGTTGACCTATCCTAATGAAACTTGGGTACAATATTGAGAGATAGGTTTTACATGGTTGCGCAAAAGAATAAACATTGAGAAAAGAGAGCCTATGTAAATAGATATGCAAATAAACGATCACATGTAAATAATCAACTCATCTTTTCTAAGCAAATATGCACATGGGTGAATCCTGTGTAGGGTATAGGTCCCCAATAAAAGCCTTGTTGCTGTATAAAGAGATAGGTCTGGAGTCACTGTCCTGTTCGCGACCTTGTAGAATATGCAAATTAGTCCGATAACCGGCTAAATTGCATATTTCCTTTATTATTCCGCCTACGTTTCTTACGTTATTTAAATTGTATGAATGAAACTTTATAACACGATATTGAGGGAGTGTTGAAGGAAACAGTCTCTTAGTTCCACATAAATCTGATAAACATTAGTCAGTTATTGTGTAATTTGCATAGGCATATTGAATAACCCAGTTGTTAACTTACATCTCAATCTAAATACATGTAAAAACAACAGCTTTATTAGGATATTTCCGTCCTGTAAGGACTCGCCATACATCACTTTCATGAAGAAAGG